GGAACAAGTGATAGAAGAGGACATGAGCCTCAAATTGCACCAGGGGAGATTTAGGTTGGGTTTTCTTCCTGGAAAGGGCTGTCCAGCCCTGACAGAGCTGCCCAGGGCAGCAGTGGAGTCCCCATTCCTGGAGGGATTTAAAGCCACATGGATGTGGCACTTGGGGACATGGGTTAGTGGTGGCCTTGGCAGTGCTGGGGGATGGTTGGACTTGATGATCTTAAAGGTCTTCTCTGACCTAACAATTCTATGACTAAAACAGGCTCAGAACACTTATCTATCCACTTATTAGAAATGCCTACACACAAAAATGTCAAGGATTCTGCTCCAGGCTGGTAGCAAGAACTAGAACCCTGTGACTGAGGGAGTAGCTGAGACACCTCTCCAGCACTGCTTCACTGCCAGCAGCCACCCTTCACACACTACTTTTCTCACATGGGTGAGAAATTAAGTACATGAAGCACACCGTAAAAATGGACAATGCAACACGGTTAGTTTATTATTATTTATCCTTATATACTATATATTATAATAAATAAATGTTAATTAAAAGTCCCAACTGGAATTAAAAAAACCCTTCTTAATAAAGGTCTCCAATTTGAGGCATCTGCCACCTATCCTACATGTCCAGTGGAATCAACGTTAAAAAAAAAAAATCAAGTGGATTAATTTGGTTCATGTCCCTGCAATGTGCAACTGCATATTACTAATGAGTCCAGCAATCTGTTGAATTAAGTAATATTAGGAGAAAGCAAACCAGTTGAAATTAACTTTTCATTCTTAGAATTCTAATTGTTTTATCACACTCTTGTTTCAGCAGAAAATAGACATTCATTATCTGCCAAGCCAGAAAAAGGGAAAGGTTGTTTAGTAGTATTTTACAAAGAAGAGGAGAATGGAACAGCTAAAGAATGAAAATGAAATATTTAAAAATAATTAGTACTACTAATATGACTTTTCATGAATAAAAATTTAAACCAGAGCCACTGAAAAACTTTGGAC